GGAGGGGAGGGGTGTGGGGGGGAGAAGTGCAGTTGAGACAAATGACCTGAAGGTCCTACAATGCTACGATCTCAGAAATCATACAACAAGAGGGACCTTGTTGGCAGATGGGAAAACAGGCGGTGGATGGACCGTAAATCTCCTTTCATCTCGATTTGGGCCTGGACAGAAAGGGAAGGGAAGGGCGCGGGGCCCCTGGCCCAGGGCAGGGCACCCCGGGCTGGACTCCCACCTCGTGGGATCTGCTCTCTCTTTTAAACATCAATCATGCAGCCTGCGTCCCTCCGCTGCATCGCTCAAGTGGTGACAGGCAGCCTGGACCCCTTGGCTGTCCGGTTCCAGAAGGTGAATGAGTTCGGGACTCTCAGCACCAGAGACTCGGCCTGGAGCTCGGAGAGCCCGCCGTGTCCCTGGTCACAGCCGGCGGGGAGCGGCCGCGCCAAGGGGGTCAGACGGGGAGGGCGCCTCTCTGCGTTTTCTCCCCAATTTGGTGTCAAGTCCATCGTCTGCTGTTGGCTCCCGCCAGGAACCGAGTCAAGGGGCACATTCCTGAGATTTCTGCCATTCTGAGCTCATAAAAAAATAACAGAGGGCCTGACAAAAATAAACAGGCCGCGCAAAAATGCGGCCGAAGCTCTGATGTCAGCGCTGGCCCGTGCTCCAGCCCCAGGGGGCGCGGGCGGCCGGACAGGCTCCCAGGCATCAGAACTGCTCCCGCCAGGGCCCTGGTTCAGGGCTTCACCCGGGGCCTGGACGGGGCTGCTGTCCCCACCCCCCAAACACACCTCCCTGCAGCCAACGCTCCACATTCCACGTTAAATGTCATTTCTGCAATTCCATTTCTAAAGGGTTTGGGTATTTTGCTTTTGGAATTATTTGGTTACAAGTAACTCTATAATTGGCTATGATTTTGTTTTTAAATATACTTTTATTGATTTCAGAGAGGAAGGGACGGAGGAGATAGAAACATCAATGATGAGAATCATCGATCGGCTGCCTCCTGCATGTCCCCCTACTGGGGATCGAGCCTGCAACCCGGGCCTGTGCCCTTGATCAGAATCGAACCCAGGACCCTTCAGTCTGCAGGCCGACGCTCTATCCACTGAGCCAAACCAGCTAGGGCTAATTGGCTATATTTTTTCATTGATTATTAGAGTGCAAGGGAGGGGGAGAGACAGAGAGAGAGAAACATCGATTGGTCGCCTCCCGCACGTGCCCCCGAACGGGACTGGGGATCAAGCCTGCAGCCCAGGTACCTACCCTTGACCGGAATCGAACCCAGGACCCTTCAGTCCAAGGGCTTATGCTCTATCCACTGAGCCACATCAGCCGGGCTGACCGGCTACGGTTTATCTGTGGAAGTCACATCTGTTCCAAAAGTATCCAAAAAAGAGAAGCTCTGGACGGAGCGTTCACTGTGAACCTGGTGGAACTGCATGAGTGTCCCCGTCCCCTTGGGTGGCCTCGCTCAGACCACTGAGCACGTCTTCCCGTGGATTTGATTGCTGCCTCTCAGCGTGTGGCGCAGGGACAGCACCTGCGCACGGCCCTGCAGTGGGGGTCCCTGAGGTGCCCCCAGGTCGGTCGGAGGAAGGACGTGGGGAGCACAGGGCCAGGCCACTGGCAGCCCCTCTCCTGGAACATTCCAAGAATTGCTTCTGCAGCCCCTCGAGCCCCGTGAAAGTCCTGTCTACACCCTGGGCCTCTCTAAGCGCAGGCTGGGGGCCTCCTGGGACCCCCCTCCCCGCTCTAGGGCGCACCTGCCACGGGAGCCAGTGGGAGCGGCCCCCTCCCCAGGTCCTAACTGGACTCAGGTTCACACGGGAACTATCCACGGACACCAGACTCTCTGAAGAGGCGCGTGACCAGCAGCTTCAGGCCTGACCGCCGAGCAGAATCCGTGAGGATGCTGTGTCCACAGGCGGAACCCGCGGGCCCCACCTGACTTCGTTTCACCAAACAACCACCTCCCCAGGTCGGGGTGGGGGGCCTTTTCTCTGCCAAGGGCCACATGAAATCACCCACTTAAAAATTAGCCTGGCCCGGCCCGGCCGGTGTGGCTCAGTGGTTGAGTGTCAACCCAGGAATCAAGAGGAGACTGGTTCGATTCCTGGTCAGGGCACATGCCCCGGTTTCGGGCTCCATCCCCAGTGCGGGGCGTGTAGGAGGCAGCCGATCCATGATTCTCTCTCATCATGGATGTTTGCCTCTCTCTCTCTCTTCCTCTCCCATCCTCTCTGAAATCAATCCTATAGAATAAAAGCCTAATATGCAAAGTGTCTGACTGTTCGTTCAGCCAGTCGCTACAACGCACACTGACCACCAGGGGGCAGATGCATCGACCGGTAAGTTAGATGGCTGCTGAGGTCCAGCCAATTGGACTGGGCAAGATGGGCCGGACACGTCCTGGAGCCCTCCCGAGGTTCCTCCCCGGCCCCGATCGTGCACCGTTGGGGTCCCTCGTCCTGGCCTGCACCCTCTCGCAATCTGGGACCCCTCGGGGATGTCAGAGAGCCGGTTTTAACCTGATCCCCACAGGCCAGGCCGAGGGACCCACCGGTGCACGAATCCATGCACCAGGCCTCTAGTAACAATATAAAATAAAATAAACAAATAATGACGTCTATTAAAAAAAGAGGAGGAAGGAGTGAGGAAGAATCATTACAAAATGCTGTTTCTACCAACCGTTTATTCTTAGGGACTAAGAGCTGCCCACATATTTATGGAATCGATGGTTTTCCCTTTGACTTGCAATATATTTAACTCTGCTGATCGGAGCGCTTCCTCGAGTGGAAGAAAGGCGGTTTTGGCTGAACTGTCGGCAGCGTCCACCAGGAATACAAATGCCCAGCCCAGGCCTGCAGGGAGGCCCGTGTGGCGGCAGCGGGACCAGGGGGCACATGGAGGACAGAGCCAGGGAAGTGAACAGAAAAAAAACAAGTAGGAAGTTTAAAAGGGCTGGTCGTGCCCGGCCAGCGTGGCTCAGCGGTTGAGGGTCGACCTATGAACCAGGAGGTCAGGGTTCGATTCCCAGTCAGGACACATACCCAGGTTGCGGGCTCGATCCCTAGTGTGGGGCATGCAGGAGGCAGCCGATCCATGATTCTCTCTCATCATGGATGTTTCTCTCTATCTCTCCCTCTCCCTTCGTCTCTGAAATCAATTAAATGAATAAATAAATGAAAGGGCTGGTCTTATTTTTTCGAGAAATGGCTCTTTTGTCTGGTGCTAAGGGGATCTCTTGCTTAGGGTGTAAAAGTGACTCCTGCCAATCAAATGGTGACTCCAGACCAGCCACCGTGCTCTCAGCGGTCCCCTCCCTGCCTGAGGGTGAGCTAGTCATTTCATTTCTCTGCCAAACCTGTTCCCCGGCAGCCACGGGGGCCAGGGAGGGGCCTGTGTTGCTCGCTCCCCGGGCTCAGCTGGGTCAACCGCTTTCCTCCCAGGAGCCCCAGGGGCAGGGTACCTGCCAGGTGCTGCTGTGGGCAGAGAACCCCCCCGCCCCCCCCCCATCTGCAGGGCAGCTTGTGCCACTGGCTCTGGACTCATAGCCACGTTCTCTCTGACCCCTGCCTAGAGCCAGGGCTCAGGACGCCAGGGGCAGAGACACAAGAGCCACACCGCCCTGTCATCTTTTCTAAGACATCCACAGATCTGCCAGACGGCGGTGGGGACCATAATGACACATCCACATTCTTTGAAAAAACAAACAAGTCCAGAATGC